CACTAGGTTAAAGGGGCTAGATGCCTGTGACCTTGTGGCTGTTCTCCACATAACTATGATGCTTTTCATTGTACCCACCATCCCCATTTTTCAAGCCCATGTGAAAAATGCTGTATTTAAGAAAATATGAATTGGTAAACGAGCTGGCTGCAGAGGGTTTGGGATGGCTAAGTTAGTTAGGCCTGTTGCCTGACTCTGAGAATAAGAGGCCAACTCCTCAGCAAGACAAACTGGGCTGTCTCAGTCCTCAAGGCCCTGGCTCTCACAGGATAGTCTGCCTCTTCAGGGACAGCCCCTCAGAGGGCTGCAGAGGCCCCTCTCAGGAAGCCCAGGCTCCACAGCTTCTGCAGGCTAGGATTCCTCAGGGCCTGGGGTTGCTCCCCAGCCTGGCCAGACCAGTTAGTACTCACCTCCTAGACGGGGCTAGCTGGAACCCACCCAGATGCGGCCCTCTACCTGCTGACACACAGGAGGACTTCTTATCTCCTGCTCTTAACTTGTGGCCATCCATATCCCCACTCATGGGGGCTACAACCTGCTGCACACACTGATCACCTTAGATTTTGCCCCTGCCCACAAAAGCCCAAGAAAGACTTCTCTCCTCAGAGCCGTAAGGCCTGGCCTTACGGAGAGAGAGCAGGAGTTACCGGAAGGGTTTCTGAGCCAAAGATTTATTGTTGCTTTGGGCTGGAAAAGCAGTCCCCAAAGCTTCCCCTACACCCACCTCCACCTCTACCCCCCCAACACACACACAAAATCCCACCTCAGAGACTCAGTTAAGGGAGGTGGAAGCTTGAGCCAGAGTGCACTTGGAAGGGAGAAAAGGTGAGTTTCAGGCAGTGTCCCTAAAGGGTAGGTGGCCAGCTCCAGGAGGTCACAGCTGCAGAACACGAGGCCACGAGGACTCTGAGGGCAGGGCTCCTCTCTCCCCCACACCCCAGCCCAGGGGGCCCTCCTGAGCTGGCAGACATTTGCAGCCAGCAGTCCACATGGCTGCCACGGCCTCAAAGCCTGAACACCTGGGGGCTGACCTCAGCCTGCTGAGGGAAGTGAGCATGGGCAGGGCCACGAGTGGACCCCGCCCCACCCCACCCCACCCCCTGCCTTCTGGATAGTCTCCAGCACCGCCTGCGGGAAGACACAGTGAAGGCACTCCAGGCGGCTGTGGGTGCTCAGGGCCGGACCTGGACAGCAGTGTCAACAGCAGGAAATTGAGGCTGTAGGCTGTTTGGATTAGGCAGCATCTTGGAAGGAGCCTGGGCAAGGGCGGGAAAGGAACCAGTGGTGCAAAAGGGGTTAGGGGCTCGGAGCTGCTGTTTCCCCCACTGACTGTTGGAAAAACCGAGGTTTGCAGAAGAGCAGAAAAGGGGCAGGCAGCACTCACCCTTGGGCGGCATCAGCACATATGTGAACTCGTGGTGCCCCAAGTCAGCAGTGGCATCAGGGGCCTTAGGTGCCCACAGCTGTGGGGAAGGGGGAATGGGCCGGCTGGAGTTCTGGCCATGGGAAGACCCACACCTCCATGCCGGCGCAGAGCCTGGCTGCCCGGAACTGATGCTCTGTACCTGCAGTCACTGAGTACCACAGGTGCATCCAGCTGTGGGCCCACACCTGGAGAGCATATCCCAGACCCATCTTTTACTCCCATCACTGAAGTGGTGAGCTCTGGGGCCCCGGGATTGAGTTCCAATAGGAGGCCCTGGACACCACCCAAACTGTCTATGACTCAGTTCCTCATCTGTGAAATGCCCACCAAACAGTCACAGTATCAAACTAAACATAAAGCATTTAGCACAATGCCTGGCACACATGTTAGGAACCAGCAAATATTGCTTCTTCTTCCTCAACCCATTCTACACAAAGAGTCTCTCCCCAACTAGGGAGAATGCAAACCCTCTCACCCCACCCATGTCAGACCTCAAATCGAGCCCAGTTCCCAGAGGTGGTACAGTGGGCGGGACACTGCAGTTGCCCAAACTGACCCTCAGAGGTGGCCTGGGGTCTGCATACAGGCAGGGAGCTCCACCTTCAGAAATGTGTGGGCTTCGTGCCAGTGCACCAGGAGTGGGAGAAAAGGGCGAGGAGAGGGCGACACACACACAGGCCCGGGGCTAGCCCGCCCTTCAGCCACACCTCAGAAAGGCAGCCCCTGCCCTGCCCCCTGCTATTTCCGTGTGGAAGTGGACATAGCGGCCACCAATGTCCAGGACAACTTCCTGCTGAGCTGACTGTGGGGACTGATCTGCAGTAGGAGCCAGGTGCTGCCCCACACCGCCCTCAGCACCCACTGCTAGGGTCCCTGCCCGGCTCAGCACTGGCTTCCTGGGGCATATGTACAGGAGGTGCTGAGCTAAGCCAGCTGATGCAGAGGCCCAATAGGCCTGTACGCTCACCCCCATCATGTCCCAGGTGGTAATCCATGACGTCCCACACATCCCAGTACAGGGGACATAACAAACACACAAACTGGCTTCCCACAGTGCCCTTGGCAACAGCCTCCCTGGAAGGAGACGGGAACTTTACAAATGACCTTGGTTTCTCTAGAGCAGGCGTCTTCAAACTACAGCCCGCGGGCCACATGCGGCCCGCAGAGGAGTCTGATCCGGCCCGCCAGGTTTTTTGGGCAGTGAGCGCAGCCGAGGTGTTACAGTAGGAATTAGTAGTTCATATAGTCCGGCCCTCCAGCTCTCTGAGGGACCGTGATCTGGCCCCCACTTTAAAAAGTTTGAGGACGCCTGCTAGAGGCTCAAGGTGGGGTGGGAGGAGGGTGAGGAGGGAACAGGGAACCCCAGCCCAGCCTGCCCTGCTCCATGAGTGGGTCCCAGGCCAGAGCCACAGGTGGGCTGTTGAGGCAGTGCTGTGGCCAAGGGGACCGAGTCTGGATCCATCTGCCAGACAGGGAGAGGGCAGTGAGGGGCTGGCTCCTGCACCAGGGATGTCAGGCAGCCGGCGGTCCAGCCTCGCCGTTGTCCAGAATCACAGAACCATCAGTCTTAGCAGAAGGGAGCCTTGAGACAGTTGGCAGGGGTTTCCACAACCAGCCCCGCCTCATCACTTACTCTAGCCTGGGGAGCTCAGCACCCCATGTGAAGTGCCTTCCCAGCCCTACCCCACCTGGACATGCCAGCACTCACCTCTTGCACAACAAACACAGGCTGCAGGGTCGACAGTGAGGTAGGGGCAGCAGCAGGAGTATAACCCATACTGCACACTGTCACCAGGACTAGGGATGAGGCCTGGGCATCAGTGCAGCTCCCTGGGTTTTCAGGAGCCTCTCTATGGGATGGGGGATACTGCTACTGCTATTCTCCAGCCTGGGGCACCTCAGGGCATAGGTCCCCAGGGGAGTGTTCCCAAATCTCGGTCTGGACCCCTCTCCCCAGCTCCTACCCAGGCTGTGGGTCCGGCCAGGCCTGGGCAGGCCAACACTGCAGTGTGCTTCCAAGGCAGGGTATTTATAATGAGGAGGCCCTTGGCACCTGGCTCCAGGCTCACAAGGCTGCATCCAAAGCACTGAGCAGTGTGTTGCCATAGGAACAGATGTCTAAGGAGAAACTGGTTGGTCATGAGTGGGCAATGGGTCTGGGATGACCTGAGTGTCCCATAGGAGGAGCAGCGAGAATGTTTCCAGCCTAACCTTTGTAGTGGCACATGGCTTCTTCTGCCACCAGCTGAATGCAGTTTCCAGATCATCATGGAACTTGTTCAAGAGCAGGACTATGCAGGGGCCAAGGGCAGGGATGGGGAAGGCCAGGAAGATGGGAAGACGAAAGGCTGGGAGGGGCAGCCAGAGGTTTCTCGGGTGAAGTCAGGTATGGACGGGGGGCAAACCAGGCTGACTTCCAGAGGTTCTGCAGCTGTGCTGCCAGGGATGGAAAGTGGACACTGCAGACAGAGCCAGACTGAGCAGCTCCAGGTCATGCGCTCACACTCCTGATTCCCATTCTTGATCTGAGCCCCAGCCAGCGAGGAGGGTGAGTCTAAAGTCTGCTTAAGTATCCCAAAGCGCTCCCTGGTTCAGAACCCCTGATGGCTCCCCAGGGCCCCCTGGATAAAGCCTCTTTGGAGGTGTTTGGGTGACATGTCCCAAACACCTCCCTCCCTCAGTGCAGGTCTCCTTTAGGCTCCTGACCCACCCAGGTTTTGCTCTTCTCTCAGCTCCTCCTTAAAGAACAAGTTTCCTCCCCAGATCTGGGGTGGGGTTGGGGGAGGGTCTGTCCTGTTTCCGTTACTGACCCTCTACAGAGCAAGGGCACATTTTCCCTGCTCAGCTGAGTGACTAGCTCCTGACCTGGGCGGGTGGGCAGTGCAGGTGCCAGTATGCAGCTCCAAGAAGAGCTCTCGGACGCACATGCAGCTGCTTGGAGTCACTCCCCAGCACCGAGCGCAGCTGCCCGCAGAAGACAACTGCATCCTGAAGAGAATGTGAGCCTGGGTCTCCCAGTCTTTGGGGGTCACATGGCTCACCCTTGATCCACACCAGAGCACACAAGAGATCCAGCCCCCAAAGAAAGAAGCACCCCCAGAACATTCCCAGTTTACAAAGCCAGCTCTGAAAACCCCAGGAGAGTTCTCTCTCTGATGAGTTTAAGCCCCTTCCCACCCTCAGCTTTTCTCCCACCTCACTCCCAAGGTAGAAGTTGGGAGGAGCCCATGCACCAGGATTGGAGCAGGACAGACCCAGTGGAGGGATTGGGCCAAATGGTTGAGCAGAAAGAAGGGCTCAAAGTAAGGGGCTAAGTTAGCAGCTCAGCGAGGGCCATCAGTGGGCCAGGCCTTACCTGGGCAGCCATCTGTATTGTATAGCCACTTTAAGTGGTCCACCATAATCTGAGGGGGTCACCACCTCCATCCCCAAAGCCGAAGAGGAAGGCACTGTGGTTGGTCCGTCCTTTCTCCCATTTTTTGGCCACTGTCTTTAGTACCTGGAGAGACAGGGGCAGATCAGCATGGTTCAGTTTAGGACAGGACACCCAGACATCTCCAGCCTACCTCCCTACCCCACCTTGGTCTCTCGATACCCTCTCACCTCCTCTACACTGCCCCCATCCCATATGAGGTGGGAAGTGGGCCAGCACACGGGAGCCATCCAGCCCTTCCCAGAAAAAGGTATGGTGCTGCGGGCAGGCAGAGAGAGGGGCTAGCATCAAGGCCGAGGCAGAGCTGAGCCTTCCAGTCCTGCCCTGCCCCTTGTGTGACCCTGGAGCAGGCACACTCTATCTGGCTGGGGCTGGGTGATTTGTCCATGACTCCTGAATAAGCCCAGGAAGAGATGAATGGGCCAGGTGGGAGCTAGGCCCACTCTAACGTGACACACTAGGTCTGCTCACCGGAAAGAAGTTCACCAAGTTCCAGCTCAGTTTTTGGACCAGGAATGCCACATCTGTGCATGATCTGGGGAAGTTGTGCTGAGGAGGAGCCAAATGTGTTTGGTAGCCAGACGTGCAGGAAAAGGGCTCTGAAGCACAGGAACCAAAGCTTTTGGCAGAGCAGCCCAAGCTGCAGACCCTCATTTCTCCAGGTTAAGCCCCATCTGCCTGAAGGCATAGCAGTTTTCAGCCTACCTCCGAGCACATCTTCCCAAACTCCTGCAGGAAGTAGTTCTAGCCCTGCAGGAACTGCCTCACCAGTGCCTCTCCATTGGGAAGATTCCCATCCTGGCAGTGAGAGAAGAGGGAGTCAGCCGGGGTCACACCAGATGAGGAACAGGCAGTTACTCAGGTCGACACCACCCCTTCGGAGAAGCCATGGCTCTGACCCAGGAAGTGTCTATCTCCTGGCTTCAGGTTCAGCCATTGATCTGAAGGGAGCTTCTGTGCTGGGTTATGCAGATAGCTCGTCACAGTGCTTGAGACCTTCTTCCCCTTGGAGTCCCAGGGCTTGGAATTGCAAGAACTAATAGTGCTGCAACAGAGAGGTTGTGAAGGGCCTGCAGAAAGCCGTAGGCTGAGGGTATGCAGACTGCACTTACAATCTCCACCCAGGTGCCTCTCAAGGGCACAAACTGCCTATGGCAGGCAAACTCCTGGAGCCAGGCATACAGGGCAGGTAGTGGTCCTTTACCTACTCAAGCTGCTGTGCCTATGAGGCAGATGTGGCAGGAGTTATGCCAGGAGTAACAAGAACCCTACCAAGGGCCAAGCATCGGGGGAGCCGTGGGCAGCTGAGACTGTGGAGGCCCTCAGAACCCCACTGTTAGACCTACTGGGTTTCTGGTGTCTCCACATTACTGTCCCTCTGACCTGGGAGCAGGCAAAGATGAACTTAGGGTTCTGTTCCATAAGCTGCACAGCTGTTACCCAGCTCCAGGCACATTTTTGCAGTCTCTTGTAAGAGCCAGGCTAGATGGAGAGGGGGACAGAGGATGGAGGGAGAGGTCCTCAGTTCCACATACCGTGTTTCCCTGAAAACAAAACATCCTCCAAAAATAAGACCTACTTACAGGTTTCCTTCTGAGTGAAATATAAGGCATCCCCCTGAAAAGAAGGCCCCCCTAGGCTCTGTCTCAGAAACTTTGTGAAACCTAAACTGCAAGAAGTTGTGACTTGGGTGAAGAATTCATGGGAGAAAATCACTGACAGTTGCATTGCAAATGCACTGCGAGCAGGCTACCTTGACAAGAAGTACTATTGCTAAACCTGAGAGATTTGGTCCACTGATTCTGAAAGAAATGGAGTCACAAGAAATTCACCAGGAAATTCAGGAATTGGATTGTTATGATGTTGTTCCAGAAGATGATGACATGATTGTCATTGAATAAATGAGTAAATTCTTGATACTGTAGGATTCAGTTTGTCTGGTTTGTGTTGACAACTATCGTACTACCGTACCGTAATAAATTTCCTTTATTTTCATTTAACAATAAATGTGTACCGTATTCTTCTTCATGGAAAAATAAGACATCCCCTGAAAATAAGACCTAGCGCATCTTTGGGAGCAAAAATTAATATAAGACACTGTCTTATTTTCGGGGAAACAGGGTAGATCTCCAGCCTCACCGCAGCCCTGTCCTATTAGGCCCCTGTGTCTCAGTGTCTCGTGGTAACCGCTGCAAGCACCTCTGAGAGAAAGCCGCCCTTGAGATTTTCCTGCTGCCAGACAGTCCAGTTTCTCCCCGAATGAGTCTGGGTTCCCAGAGTCTCGCCCGGAACTGAAGTTCAATGCAGTCGGGAGCTTTTGTCTCCCTCCACAGCCGCACACTCAGCCGCCCGCACTCTCAGCAGTCAGTCCTCTCTGTGCACATGCGCCTCCGGACCCTGACTTCTGCAGCTCCTGAGTCTCTTTCCTGACAGTACAGATTCCTCCTGAATGAGTCTGGCTTCCCAGTGTCTTGCCCAGGACTGGAGTTTAGTGCAGTCAGGAGCTTCCTTCTCCATCTCGCTTTAGAAAGCCAGCAGCACACTCAGCCACCCGTCCTCTCGGCGTATGAGTCTCTGTACCTCAGCCTTTTGCAGCTCCTCTGAGTCTCAATGTGCTTTCCTCTTTCCTTCTAATTGTAGAATTTCCATTCAGCCAGCTTTCCTATGGTTCTGTATAGGGCTCTCTTTCACGGCCCGCGTAGAAAGAGTTCCAATTCAGGGTTCAGGTTCTGGAGAAGGGCCGCACACAAATGAAAAGAGACTTGAAGAAATTCAATTTGGCGATTTGGGGGGCCAGGCGGTAGTCCAACTCTAGTGGGAGAACTACTCCTGCTCTGGCCCTGCCATCCCCTTTTATTGAGGCTTTGGGGAAAACATCTTAAGCAACATAAACAGAAATTTACATGTAGCCCTTAGGCAGGAAATAACAGAAACTTGTAGATTCTGCTTCAGCTAACAAAATCTCAACTAAAGGTTAGAGCAATTAAGGTTGTTGACCAGCCTTCCTGGCTTCCTGTCAACATCTCTTTTTCAGTGAAACTGATTTGGTTTCCAGCATCTCCCCCGTTTTCTTTCCTTAAAAAATTTTTGTAGACTAGAAATAAACAAAAAATGAAACAAGCAATGCTGAGAGTCAAATGAAATCAGTCTGCAGTAAGTTTCTTTCTGGGCCAACAGTTTTTGAATCCCAGATTCAATGTCAAACAGTTTTTTGAGTCCAAATTTTAATGTCCAACAGTTCTGAGTCCATGTCAGCAATGGTGGAAATATAGTTTGGTCCTGGACAACCTGCAGTGACGCACATCTGCTGGCTGTTAGTATGACAAGGCGTCGTCAGCATCTTCCATCTCTGGTCTGTTTTTCCTCTTGTCTTTATGGCTGGAGCATTCCTGTCAATTCTTCTCTGTTGCAGGAATCCACATGGTCTTGGAGTTGTTTTCTGAAAATATACAAACATATCTCGACCAAAATTAATAAAGGAATCTTTTCTATAAATCTTACTTGGGATACTTTTAATTTTTTGCCCAAACAATTTTTCTTTGACTTATTTTGGTACTATGTGTGTTTTTCATGGCTGTCTTACTGTTATCATTACAAATGAAAATTGGTTTTCAAAAGAAGAAAAATTTTTCTAGATGTAATTTACTTACAGGACATTTTTTTTTCTTACATGCTATTTTCCACTATCCCCCTTTTTTCTATTTAATTATTAGGAGGCTTTTGAAAAATTTTTTTATAATGCTGTTTTGATAACTTTTAAATTTTAATTTTTTGTACAAAAACTATGACTGCTTTAGGGTTTATTGTGTGTTAAACAATTTTACCATGAAATGGACTACCAATAGAAATTTTGGTTAATACTTTAGGAACATCCTGTTGTACAATTAAATTTTCTTGAATATTAACTCATTTCATTTAGCCAATTTAAATTAATCTGAAAACTTGACTATTTTACTGTCAAATTTAATACTTTAACAACAATTTTAGTTTACTCTGTAAATATTAATGGAAAGGATTATATGCATCCTTGAGAAAGCCCTGAGCACTCGTAGATTTAGGCTGGATTTAGATGTAGGACAGTCGCCATCAGCCACTTTTCTATTGCTTGGGTCTCAATAAGAGCCGTGCCAATTCTTTTGTTTGTAGCTGGGTCTCAATCTGAGGTGGACCAAATCTGTTTGTTGCCTGGGTCCCAATCTGAGCTGGGTATGGGAAGCGTGAAGCAGCCATGGGGCAGGAGACACCCCTCAAAAGGGCGAGTGTTCAAGCCCCTGCAGCGTTGGGGGGGGGGGGGGTGAGGATCTGTGCCCCGCCTCTGTTGGCCCCCAAGTCCTCTCCTGATGGCCCTCTGCGGCTGTGCCTGTCTTAGGTCGTCCCTCCCTTGAGGAATCTTACCCGTCATTTGCTAACCAGCCATCCTCCGGGGCCAAGCAGGGTGATGTGAGGTTCAGTTCTGTCTCCTTAGTAGCCTATGCCCCTATGGCCTCCATGCCCAGTACCTGCCTTGGGATCCCCTCGCCTGCTGGCGGGGCCCCAGCATTGATCACATATCTTGGGGAACCCAGGTTTCTTCTCCAGGGAGAGCCCAGCTCATGCCATTGTGCGAGAGATGGATCCATGGTACCAGCCACCATGAGGCTTTAACCTCAGCATGAACTGAAAACTCTGGCAACAGCTGTGGGTAATTGGATTGTGACAAAAGGGTCCCTCTTTGCAAATAAGGCAAGAAAGGCCAATATAGAATGCTCAAGTGCCTTCCCAGTGAGGCCCTCCACACAGTGGAAGGGATTAAATCCTTTCATGTCCTTTTAAATTGCTGCCAAACATTTAAAAATTAGATTTTTAATTTTGTTTGGAATAATTGTACAATATGCTGTTGTAAAATATCAAAAATTATAAATGACATTGTAGAATAATACTATGCAAGGATATTCTTTGTTCTAAGCCAATGGCAATTCAAATTCAAACTGGCTGTCAATTTCTTTTTGTATAGACAAGGTCTTAGTTACATTCTCTGCACCTCTCCCAGGAGCAAGTAGTGATATTCCTCTACTTTGGTGCAAGCCAGAAACCTCTCTTTAATTTTATACACAAAGGAGCATTGGTTTGATTTTGTGTCATACAAAAAGGGAAGCTGGGTGGCAACACCTGTGTAATTATACTTCCTTGCCCCACCCATTTTCTTCCTGGATGACCAAGGTGCTTAGTATTATTGGTGACTACATTAGGCAAGGGATCAGCCCACATAAGGACTTTTACCCATGAACGGTCAGGAACGTAAGTTCTAAACACTTCCACATTTGTCCCAGGTAATATTACCGTACAGATGATTACTGCTAACATGGCAAGAAAGAAATTCTCAGGTGTCAGGCGTCTATACGTCTTCTTTACCATGCGCCAAATAAGTTAACCGCTTTCCTTTGCCATTAACAATACATGCCTATAAACCTTCTAAAATATTTATATTTATTAATTTTTATTTGATAAGGCTTTCCATGCAATTTCAAGTTTATTTAATCTGTTTTAAGTCATTTAAGAAGAGAATAAATTTCTTGTATTTCGCTGGGCCCTTGGAGCTTTCCAAGAATCATCTCTGTTAAGGCCTTGAAATTTTAACATGGAAAAAACCATCAAACAAATATCTATATCCATATATGATTTAAATATTATAATACCTTTTATTATTAGCTTAAGATATCAGTTAAATTTAGACTAGTTTTTGCATAGAAAATATTTGGTTGAGATCACAGAATTAATCCTCTTTTTTAATTAGACCAATAATAAGCAACTTATTTTTAATTCCTAATTATTAGAGAAAACACACTTTTTATTTTCTCAAAAACAAGTTATATTTTAGGTATTTTAATTACAACTATATAATTTCTCCCAATTTAATTTGCACTTTGAACTTTTAAAGCTGGCAAATCAAATATATATTGCATGTCCTAGATTAATGACACTTTACATTTCTAAGAAAAATACAAGACATAATCAACTAAGAGCTTCCATTCTGTCCTGTAGATTTTTTATGAGGCAACTTTAAACTTTATTTTTTATTTATATAATTAAGACAACTTCCACAAAAATTTTGCCACAGGAATTTGGAGGAAGTTTGTAGCCATTCAAATGCAAGTTACCACATTCCTTAGCTTACTGGGAGAGTGGTCTTCCTTATAGGATTGCCTGGTCTCTCCCTTCCCCCCACATCAAGCTTACTTTGGGAGAAGTTTCAACAGATCTGGCCACACATTTTTTCATGCTTAATAAAGACAGGTCTTAAATTTTTTCTTTCTTTTTTGCTCTCTGAAGTAATATCTAGCACCCAATTTGGCCAAGATCAACATTTCCCTGAGAATTCTTTTATAATTTTTAAAGAAAACTTTAAGTAATCTCATTGCAGGAGAACAGATAGCTTTGCCCTCTCCTGCCACCTTTAAATTTCTCCGCACCAGAGGCGGTTTCAGCAGTGGAGTCTCATTTGTTATTACAGATTTTAAATTCCAAATACAAACTAAGATTTTAATTTGAACAAGAAACCACATTCTTTAAGTTTACAAACCAAAAATCTATAATAAAGTTTACTTTAAATTTATAACCTAATTCTTCCCCATTAGCCTGGTTAAAAAGGACGTTCCCACCCTACTTACAGTTCGCGACTCTGCAGCTGGCCGTGGGCTTTGAGTGCGGTGAATTTCCCTCACCTTTTTTCGGTGAATTTCCCTCACCTTTTTTCTGGTGAATCTTCCACACCTTTTCTTGGTGTATTTTTCCTCCTTCGCTCTTAGGCGAAAAATACCTTTTCCTCCAGAAGTCCCGCGTTGAAGGCGCCAGATATATGACTCTCTTTCACATCCCACATTGGGCGCCAGATATAGGGCTCTCTTTCACGGCCCGCGTAGAAAGAGTTCCAATTCAGGGTTCAGGTTCTGGAGAAGGGCCGCACATAAATGAAAAGAGACTTGAAGAAATTCAATTTGGCGATTTGGGGGGCCAGGCGGTAGTCCAACTCTAGTGGGAGAACTACTCCTGCTCTGGCCCTGCCATCCCCTTTTATTGAGGCTTTGGGGAAAACATCTTAAGCAACATAAACAGAAATTTACATGTAGCCCTTAGGCAGGAAATAACAGAAACTTGTAGATTCTGCTTCAGCTAACAAAATCTCAACTAAAGGTTAGAGCAATTAAGGTTGTTGACCAGCCTTCCTGGCTTCCTGTCAACATCTCTTTTTCAGTGAAACTGATTTGGTTTCCAGCAGTTCTGGATGGTGTCTGTTTTGTCTTTTAGTTGTAGTTTTGGTATTGTTGTGCGAGGCAGCAGTTTAGGTGTTTACCTATGCTGCCATCTTGGTTTCCAGGGTTCTGTCTCTTAATCCCTGTCTTAAGCAAGTGGAGTCTCTAGAACTAGACCCTAGCTAATCTCCCAAGGGTTCTCAGCAGAGCTTTCCTTCCTCCAACTCTTTGCCTCTGCTGTTCCCCATGCTCAGAACTGTTTCCTTCTTCCCCTTTACATAGATAAACCCTACCAACTCTTGAGCAGGCAAAATACTCTCCCTATTCTGCATTCCCAGAGTCCCAAGTGTTTAACCCAAGAAACCACAAACCTGGAATTCTAGAGAGTGACCAGGTAAGGTGGGGTGTTAAGTACCTTGGCCATGCCCAGCAGCAGTTCTAGATCCATCAGGAGCTTGTGGATATCCTGGTGGAACAAGGCCAGCTCAGCCTGGCTCACCTGGAACATCTTCTCCAGGTCTGGGGCTGCAATCATGGTGCCCTTTCTGGGCCCCAAGAGCCCATTGCAGGCGACTTCTTCATAGAGGGTCAGCCTACAAATATGGGGAGGCAATAGTAGGCCAAGGGACTGGCAGAGACCTCTGGGGGCTTAGGGAAGGAGGATGGCAGATGCATCCAGATGACCCCTCCCCATTTACCTCCAAGATCCCAGAGTATGTCAAGTTCATATAAGAGAGGGTCACAGAAGCACCAGCCTAAACCCATATGGTGATGAGAGCTCTATTATTGTTAGTGAGAACAAGCAACTCATTCTGGAACTGTATGATGCTACTGTTTAGCCTTTTGTTACCAAAACTGTTTTACATAGCACTGCCTTCGTCTCAGACCATCTTTGTGCATCAAAAACATGTTTGGCCTCGCTGATGTGGCTCAGTGGTTGAGTATCGACCCAGGAACTAGGAGGTCAAGGTAGATTCCAGTCAGGGCACAAGGCCGGGGGTTTGGGGCTTGATCCCCAGTAGGAGGTGTGCCATTAATGATTCTCATCATTGATGTTTCTGTTTCTCCATCTCCTTTCCTCTCTCTGAGCAAAGACCCATCAGCCAATACAGAGCAGGCTGTTCTTTAAAGCACCATATTGGGCTCTGACACTGTTCTACTCAGTCTTCAGAGACCACAGATAACTTGTTTGGGGAAGCCCTCCCTATTCCTCCTCCCATCCCTCTCCTAAGTCTGGAACAGAGTTTTCACATTGAGCTCCAAGGGTTTTCTCTCAGAGTCCTCATCAGTTTTGCAATTGTATAAGTATGCAGGTGTCCTCTTCCTGTAGAAGACCACATTACTCATCGTCATAGTCCCAGTGTCTGGAAGAATCACACAGTATTCATTAAATATTATAACATAAAATAATAATTTTTAATGGTCTAATAAATGTTAATGTTATAATATGGAATGAAAAAATTTAGAGTACAAATATCAAGGACATATAACCTAAACTAGTACAAACTACACCTGGAAGAATTCCTGAGATAAACACTGAGATATACACTGATTGGCCAGATTATTATGATCTCTGCATATATATATATATATATATATATATATATATATATATACACACACACACACATACATACATACACACACACACACATACACTGAGTGGCCAGATTATTATGCGTTCAGAGATCATATAATAATAATCTGGCCACTCAGTGTAAATAATGGTCATTTCTAGGTGAGTAGGATAATGGGAGGTATTTACTTCTTTGTACTTTTCTGTATTTACCACAAGGCGGCAAACATTTTTATAGCCAGAAGAAAACAAATCCTGCTTTTAAAAAACAAACACTGAAGATTTGAAAATGGTTGTGTTGGGAGTAGGTATGTTTCCAAGACCATTCTGGGCTTCAGCTACCACTATGTGTCCTCCCCTCCACAACCTTGGTCAACCAGTGCAGGGATTCACTCACCTCCAAGGGTCTCCTTCTCCCAGCCTCTCAATCAGGACATAACTGAGTTTCTCCCCTTCTTTGGTCAAACGTGGTGGGAGTACAGTAAAGGAGACAGGGCCTGAAGTTTTTGGACAGTTCATGTTAAACATAAGCTAAGAAAACTTAAGACCCTCCACTCTGTCTCCAGCGTTGGCTTCTTTTCCAAGGCAAGGCCAAGACTGACAAATCACGGACCCTTGGTAGCAAGCGCCCCATCCTTCATGGCAGCCAGCGGCATGACCACCCTGGTGTGATGGGATGGGTCTTGGGCAGGCATCAAAAGACCTGGGTATGGCTCCCAGTGTCCGCTGTACCCTTGAATAAATATCAGAAGGGAAATTCTATAAAATCACAAACAGGTTTGTCTCATTTCCTGATATGTCCTCATTGCATAGCATAGGGCCTGGCCCAGAGAGGGCACTTAGGAGACATGTGCTGAGCCAATAGAGGGAGGGAGAGAGGGCTTTGCTATACAGGTAGGAGTCCTACATGAGACTGAAAGTCCAATTGGAATAGAAGATGTGCAAACTGAACAAGTGAACTAACCTCTATGTATCTCACCTTAATCTACAAACAGTTATAAAGACCAACCACATAGGATGATAAAGATACCGTTAGATGCATAAGCAAGACACTTAATAGTGGATATATCTGGGGAATTTGGATGGGGTAGAGGGGAAATATTTGAAAGTTTCCCCTCATTCTATTTAAATTAGAGGGAATATGCAAATTGACTGTCATTCATCACAAAGATGGTGGTGGCCACAGCCACGAGATGGAGGCACCCAGTCCTCTTAGCCCTGCCCGAGGCCCCCAGTCCTGGGTGGGGTGGGGGGAGAGGCAGCCACTGAGAGCGGGTAGAATGAGCGGTCTGGCAGAATACTTGCTTCGTAGCCCCAGCAACAAGGCAAGTGTTCCAGCCTAGCCGTGAAGGGTCTCTGAGCAGGCCAGGCCTGGAGCGGCCGGACAGAAAGTTTGCTTCATCATCACTGTTGCAGAGACTCTGACAGCAGGGAGAAGGAAGTCCCACCCCCAGAGAATCAGCCAGAATCAGCTGTTGGTCAGATAGCTCTCAGTGGCCTGACAGCCAGGACTTTCTCATCACCTGCATCTCAGACCATGACAGAAGGGAGGTGGGACTATGTCTAAAAAGCAACTATTGATATAATGTAGCTCTGCAGCCAAAAAAGAAGCCTATGTTATTGACAGAAAATGTCTAAAGACCAACATGTGTCTAGATGTTGAAAGAAGGCGGCGCCTGTAACAGAATGTATCTGAAAAGCTACTATTGGCAAAACGTAGCTCTGAAGCCAAAAAAGCCAGCGTCATCTACAGAAAATGTCTAAAGACCAATGTGTCTTTGAAGTTGAAAAAAGGCAGTGGCAACAACAAAATATGTCTAAAGAACAGTCATCAACAAGTACTACCAGAAACCAAGATGTTGGCATAGGTAAACACCTGAACTACTGCCTCGCACAACAATTTCAAAACTACAACTAAGAGACAAAACAGACATCATCCAGAACCACAGGAAGCCTGGCTGAGTGGAAATTCTACAACTAGTAGGAAAGAGAAAAGTACACTGAGACTCAGAGGAGCTGCAGGAGGCAGAGGCACAGAGACTCGTGCATGGAGAGAAGTGGCAACTGAGTGTGCAGCTGTCTTTCTCAATTGGGAAGAAGAAAAAAGCTCCCGACTACCCGACTGCATTGAACTTCAGTTCTGGGTGAGACTCTGGAGACCCAGACTCATTCAGGGATAAACTGGACTGTCTAGCAGCGGGAAAAACTCAAGGGCGGCTTTCTCTCAGAGGTGCTTGCAGCGGTCACCACGAGACACTGAGACACAAGGGCCTAACAGGACAGGGCTGACAGAAAACCAATGCTGTCTGTTCCACCCTGAGACTCCACCCCATCCAAGCTGAGCACAGAGGCTTTTGCAATTTTGCAAGTCTTGTCTCACAAGGGTGTCTCCAGCACAGAAGTTCTCCCAGCATAGACACAGCTGATCCTCACAGTCAACTGACCTGGAGGTCAATTCCTCCCAGTGATACTAATAACAATCAAGGCTTAACCACAACAAGACTGAGCACACAGCCCACAAAGAAGTGGACCAAGAGTGTCCACCTCTAGTAACTGGGGGAGGTTGAGCCACTGGGCCCTATAGGACACCTAGCACACAAAGCCACTCTATTAACTCAAGGAAGCAGCCAAAATGTGGAGACAAAGAAAAAGATCACAAATAAAAGAAATGGAGGAAAGTAAACAACTGGATGTAGAGTTCAAAACCATGGTTATAAGGTTTTTCAGAATTTCTTAGAAAAGGCCGATAAATTTAGCCAGACCCTCAAGGATACAAAAAAGGACCAACTATAAAGTAAAATAAAAAATGTTATACAGAGATCTATCAGCAGACTAGAGGACCACAAGAATCAAGTCAAAGATTTGGAATACAAAGAAGCAAAATTTACTCAACTGGAAAAGAAAAAAGAAAAAAGAATCCAAAAATATGTGTAAGGAGCCTCTGGGACAACTTCAAGCGTACCAACATCAGAATTATGGGGGTGCCAGAAGAAGAGAGAGAGCAAGATACTGAAAACCTATTTGAAGAAATAATGACCAAAAACTTTCCCTACCTGGTGAAAGAAATAAACTTAAAAGTCCAGGAAGTGCACAGAACCCCAAATAAAAGGAATCTAAAGAGGACCACACCAAGACACATTATAAATAAAGTGCCAAGAGCAAAAGACAAAGAGAGAATATTAAAAGCAGCAAGAGACCCGAAACCGGTTTGGCTCAGTGGATAGAGCATCGGCCTGCGGACTGAAAGGTTCCAGGTTCGATTCCCGTTAGGGGCATGTACCTTGGTTGCGGGCACATCCCCAATAGGGGGTGTGCAAGAGGCAGCTGATTGATGATTCTCTCTCATTGATGTTTCTAACTCTCTATCCCTCTCCCTTCCTCTCTGTAATAAATCAATAAAATTAAAATTTAAAAAAAAAAGCAGCAAAAGAAAAACAGTTACCTACAAGGAAGCACTGATACGACTGTCAGCTGATTTCTCAACTGAAACCATGCAGGCCAGATGGGAGGTATTTAAAGTGATGAACAGCAAGAATCTACAACCAAGATTATTCTACCCAGCAAAGCTATCATTCAGAATTGAAGGTCAGATAAAGAGCTTCACAGATAAGAAAAAGCTAAAGGAGTTCATCACCACCAAACCAATATTATATGAAATGCTGAAATGTATTCTGTAAAAAGAGGAAGAAAAAGAAAAAGGTAAAGATAAAAATTATGAACAACAGATACATATCAACAAGTGAATCTAAAAATCAAGTGAATAAAAAAATCTGATGAACAGAATAAACTGGTGAATATAATAGAATCAGGGGCATAGAAAGAGAGTGGACTCACAATTCTCGGGGGGAAAGGGGTATTGGGGGTGCAGGAAGAGACTGGACAAAAATCATACACCTATGGATGAGGACAGTGGAGTCTAGGGGTAAGGGGAGAGGGTGGGTTGGGAACCAGGTGGAGGGCAGCTATGGGGGAAAATAGAGGAACAATTGTAATAATATAAATAAAGGTTTGTTAAATTAAAAAAAAAACCCACAATAACAAGTACTACCAATACTGGTAGGAACTGCCTTTTCAGCGAAAATGGAGTACATGAGGATGCAATTCTTGAACCTAGTTGTGGTGGAATGTCTGTTAGATTTGAATTTTGCCTATTACTAAATTTCTCTGATAAAAAACCATCCGATGGGAAATTTACTTGATGTTGTAGCAAAGGTAAAGTCTGTTCAAATGATATACATTTTCCAGAATACCCAGCATATTTAAAAAGATTTAAAAACGAAGATTCTGACAGTTAAAATTTTATGGGAAATATTCGTTCCATAAATAGTTCTTTTGCTTTTGCTTCCATGGGTGCAAATATTGCATGCCATCAGGATATGGGCCATAATGTTTTAGAATACACAGAGAATTTTATTACCATACTGGAACTTTACACCCTTTGGTGTTTCTCAGAAGCAGGGGCGGGCAGTTGTGGGAGACCGGGTCAGCAGGGGGCCATCAGGCCATCAAGGGAGCAGTTAGGCATCGATCAGGCTGGCAGGGGAGTGGTTAGGGGGTGATCAGGCTGGCAGGCAGAAGTGGTTAGGGGCGTTTAGGCAGGCAGGTGAGCAATTGGGAGCCAACAGTCCTGGATTGTGAGAGGGATGTCTGACTGCCTGTTTAGGCCCAATCCCTGTGGGACATCCATCCCTCAAGGGGTCCCAGATTGAAGAGGGTATAGGCTGGACTGAGAGACACCCTGCCCACTGCACCCCCTGTCCCCATGCATGAAATTTGTGCCTCTAGTTGTATATATTATATATAATAAAGAAGTATTTAAGAGCTAAAGAGATGTGGTTTCCAAAGCCACTAGTCTGGCACCTAGTTGAGGGTTAATAAATGGAACTGCTTTACTTATTATCATGATTAGTAATCATATTCAGCCTAGAACGATGTGGTCAGCCCAGCCGGTGTGCTTCAGTGGTTGACCATCAATTCTCAGTTAGAGCACATATCCAGGTTATGGGCCAGATTCCCAGGAGGCAACTGATTAATGATTTTCTCTCCTCATTGATATTTCCATCTTTATCCTTCTCCCTTTCTCTCTGAAATCAATAAAAATATATATTAAAAAAAAAAAAAAAAGATGGGCAGTCAGTGGCAGGGTTGGTTTAGCACTAATTATGTTGTGACCCAAACACTGTCCACTTAATTTACTGTATATGAAAGGACCTAATCAAGCACAGAGGCCCAAGCAGCAACCTCCCCAGTCCTGAAATCTTCTGCACTCTTCAGGCAGAGCCACTCAGCCAGCTTTAACTTCTCCAGAGACCAGAACTGAAATGTGGCTATGCAGTCCCTAGGGCAAGGCTCCTTACCTGAACCGTTCCCCATCACGTCACACCAGGCCCTCTCCATCACTTTCCAGTGAAGGTGAACTTCTTGCCCCACCCAGGCCTCCAGGATGGTCAGCTCCACCCAGAACCAGCAGATCCACCATCTGCAAGAGAGCCACTTAGATGGGAGTTCTTGTCCTTTTGAAATAGTACTTTCTTAGATTAAGGGTCAGTAGGGGCTTGAGGTTTTCTCTATGCATTACAAGGTAATCAGATTTGATGGACAAGAAAGGAGTAAGGAGAGGGAAAGAGGCAGAGCCAGGGTCTGATACATCCTTGAGTGCCTTTCCTAAGGGGTGTCCAGGGTCTGGGAGAAAGGGGAAAATGAACTCTTGCATTAAGTCTGAGGGACCAGAGACAGACAATGGAGGTGTGGCCCTTCGAAGTGAGCCAGCCCAGAGGGACGCCCACTGGCAGGGCCGTGCCTCTGGGCGTTACCCACTTGGGTCCAAAGGTGTCCCGGACCTGCACAGGGCGGAAGTCCTGCCGGATTGCCTCCTAGCAGGGAAACCTCTCAGCGTCAGGTAACTGGAGAGCGTGGCCACCGGGCAGCTGTCCCCGAAGAGCCTGGGCAGAGGGGTCAGTGGGCATGCGTTCAGTCATCTTTCCACCTGGCGGGTGGAATGCGGGTCCTTCGATCCACCTTGGAGATGGCTGCCCCACAGCACAGCCTCCCCGTTCCCTCCTCCCGGCCATGCTGGCCGTAGGGGGCGGGCACTTTCTCTCAGACCCGGTGGCTGTAGCTTGGGTTTAACCACAGAAAGGAAGGCAGAGGCCGGTGAACTAGGCCAGCTGGTGTCCTGAGAGGGGCCACACCTGCCAGAGGTTACAATTGTGGGTAGAGTGGTGACACGAATTTCTCCGCCCGCTCCAGCCTAGTGCCCAGTGCTTCAGGGTTGGCGCTGCGTCAACGCCGCCCTCCCACTCTTCTCGGACAATTTCGGTGCTTCTGCGCGGCGGAACCTGCGCGTGGACCGCTGCAGGCTGCTTTTTACAACATCCAGGCTCTCTGGAAAGCCCAGCTGCTCGGAACTTTGAGTGGGACACTGAAAGAAGAGCTTCTGGACTGGTGGGCCACTTGGCAAATCACTAAATAAAATGGGAAGTCTGGCCTTTGGCTTGGTGGATGGAACGTCGGCCTGGAGATTGGAGGGTCCAGGGTTCGATTCCGGTCAGGGGCATGTGCTTTGGTTTCAGGCACATCCCCAGTGTGGGATGTGCAGGAGGCGGCTAATCAGTGTTTCTCTCTCATCTATGTTTTGAGTCTCTATCCCTCTCCCTTCCTCTCTGTAGAGCACAAGTGTCAAACACAAGGCCCGCGGGCCAAATCCGTCCCGCCAGGCCTTCCCGCCAGGCCTTGCAATGTGGCCCGCACCGCGCTGTCATCACTGCACTCCGCTGCGTTTCCATCACAATGACAGTTTATGACTGTTCAGTAAACCATTCGGCCCGCGATTTAGGCTGGATTTTAGATTTTGGCCCCTTCTCTGATTGAGTTCGACACCCCTACTGTAGAGGGTCAGTGAAATATATTGAAAAAAAAAAAAAAAAAAAAAAAAAAGGGGGGGGGGAGGGGGGGGAGGTTGTCTAACACATAGATTCTCCAAAAACTCTGGGACATAGATAGGGGGACCATTAGACACAACAGATCACTTGGCATCAGCACCAACAGGTGGGAACCCTCTGCCCTCCAGTGCCAGCCTGGCCTCTGGCTCCCTAGGGTCGCCATGTATGGACATGGTGTTGAGGGCTTTGCATCCCAGTAACCTCAGCTTCCTCTATTACCTTATTGTATGTAGATGGCTGTTGGTCATCACCAGAAACTCTGGAAAAGTTTTGATTTGAGATAATATGTTAGTCATAGCACTCAAGATCCTAATAGAATACTGCATTTCACCACACAGGACTGAAGAGTTAAGAGAAGCCATAATGCCAGACACCTAATTTCATTTTCACATTACCCTAGTAGTCCACTGGCAGCTTTTTTTTTTTTTCTCCTAAGATGGCCAAGGGAGTTCTTGTCTATAATAGCATTAAAAAAAATATATACACAGCATTAGCCCTGATATTTTAATGGAAATACTGACCAAGTCAAATTTACATTTCAAATGCAAACTACACAGAAGGGTGACTGAGTACATAATACCAAGCATAATCCTATATAATAAAAGGCCAATATGCAAATCCACAGAATGATGTAATGACCAGTTGCTATGACATGCACTGACCACCAGGGGGCAGATGCTCAATGTGGGAGCTGCCCCCTGGTGGTCAGTGGGCTCCTACAGGGAGAGCACTGCTCAGTCAAAAGCCAAGCCTGGCTCACTGCTGGTGAGTGTGGTGGCGGGAGCCCTCTTGACCTCCACAGCAGGTGGCGGTAAGGAGAGAGGGGTCCGGGACTGCAAGAGCCCCAGGCCGCAAGAGCGATGTCTGACTGCCAGTTTAGCCCTGATCCCTGAAGGTGGGGCGGGGTGAAGGAGATCAGGCCTAAGCCAGTAGGTGGGCATCCCCTGAAGGCTCCTGGACTGCAAGAGGATGCAGGCTGGGCTGAGACCCCACCCCCCACCCCAGGCCTCTAGTTTAGTTTAAAATAAAGATAACTTGCCAGCTATAATACAGGCTGGGTTTAGAGCTTGTAGCTCTGATGTCATTAGACAGGAGGGACAAAAATGCTGATTGTGAGAACCAGGTAGTGAAACTCCCCCTTCTTTTTTGGTTACACTGCTAGGTTGAAGGTTTTCTCCTGAACTGGCTCTGAAACCTTATTCCCAACCAGCAAGCAAGTGCTCTGGACATAATCCTGTGCAGGCACAACAGCTGGGCCCCGTCTATTTCTCCCATAATTCCAATCAACATGATCTTTTTTGAGTGAGCAGAGGGGGATAGGTGAGTTAATTGCTGGGAAAACCTAAAGATTTCCCATCCCCAATCAGTACTTATTATTCCATTTCCAAGTCAGATAATGCCTCAGCTTCATCCTACAATCTCCTCCCACAAGGCTCTTTGTTACCATACATTTCTGGGTCCCACCTCTTGTGTGTCTCCCCCCTCAACACTACACACACAACAAACAAACAAAAAATCAGAGAAGTCTACCATGTATTTTGAAAGTCCAGAGGCCAAAAGTTTGTGGGATTTGGAAGTGTGTTGGGAGGGGTGGGGATGGCGAATTTTATTAAAAAAACAACACACAAACAAACAAACAAAAAAATCACTGTTGGTTACTTTGCAACTATGATTAGGGTAAATAGTTGCTGGAGGAAAATCCACCAGAAATCCAGGCTGACCACATAAAAATCCTTATCAGCCAGGATCAAATGTCTGCCAATTTAAATTATATATATTCCATTTTCAGTTAGTAATGAAATGTATCAAATCTCCCTCCCAATCCCACTTATACCACATGCCTTATACACACTTCTTTCAAATACTGATTTGGTATTTAAGTTACTCACTCCCATTTCTACTAAGGATAAGAAAAAATATAGAGAATTATAAATTATTTAGCTAGACAACTCATTCATATATCACACATATCTAAACAGTTGGATATGGGAGGGAGAAAATATGCATTGAAAGAATAAAGTATTCTGCTTCAAAATTTTGGAATATTTTGACTTGAGATAAGTGAAATTGATTGCTAACTAGAACAAAAGCCTGGATAAGGAACTGAGCCTAAATCCCTGCTTCATAATTGTTCTCTGGTGAGGACAAGGGACTTGGGTTGCAAGTTTATTCCTTAAGAACCAAACTTTATTTATTTTTTTTTAAAAAAGTTTTGGGGCAAGGGAAAGACAAGTTTTACACAAAAGCACTACAACCGTAACTCCCTTTGGTAAAAAGTGTAATAAATGTCTTGCACACCTGTTCATAGGTACTAAATCTGAAGTCACATAGAACTATGGTACACAAGAAGCTAGAGCAGTTATGCTAGCACATCAAAGCATATTTCTTTTAATAAAAAATTGACAGTATGTACATTATTTACAAAAAAGAAAATCCCCGTTAAAATTGTGTGTGTTTGAGAGAAAGAGTAAAGCTGGTGGATGGCACTGGGGAAGACTGGTAAAGAAGCAGGTACAAAATAGTTCCTCGGGAGCTAAAAAGAACTGATTTAACTTGTTGAGGTTGATAAACAGAGGAGAAAGTAAAAGGGAGGCAATAAGGGATTCGGTCAGGAATCAAATTCACAAGATGATCAATCCCAAAGCCAATCTGTAGGTCCCACATAAAACCTAATGGATGCTCTAAATGTGCTTGAGTGACCAGGAAGAAGAAAAAAAAAATCACATCCAGTTTTGTGCCCCTCCCCCCTTTTTTTGGGGGGGTGGGGTGGGGGAGAAGAGGAGCATTGACCATCAGAGTTACAACCCATTTGAGCATTGAGTCCTTCCCTAGTTCGTCAACGTATACCCATCCAGCCAAGGTTTGAATAGCACCTGGTTCCCTCTTTGAGGTCAGGCCCCAGGAGACTCCAGTCTTAACTTTGCTGGTGTGTGCAAGCAAGCTGTGTATTTATGCTTAAGTGGGTTTCCTTCCCCTCCAGGATCCTAAACCCGTGGGGAAAGTTCCCGAGCACAGACGGATCAGGTGGCCACGTCCCAGAGAGGCCCAGTGAGGCTTGGAAGGCATCTTCCTCATTTCTTCAGTGTGTGTGAGGGCACAGGGACTGCACCCCCTCACACACACACCTCCTTCAAGTTCTCTACTCTGGCTTCGCAGTTATGGGGTTTTGAACACTGTGCCGTATTTGACACGGTACTTGTTAATGTTCACAAAATGCAGAGTCTCTGTGTCACAGGTGGTGGTACAGGGAACCAGGCCCTCCAGCCCCTCACCCATGAGCCACTTGCTGGTCTCCGCTGCCATTTCACGGGGCACGTGCTCCTTGGTCCACTTATCTACCCAGGCCTGGAACCTCTGATGTAGTCTCTTGCTTACACGCTCATGGGACTGCAAAACAAAACAAGTAAACAAAACAAAAACACCCATGAACTAGGACCAAAAAAAACACAACCCTCAAATACAAAGCCCAATTTCCTCCTAAAGTATAATAGCAAAGAAAAGATGTGGCCACAAGTTTCTGATACCACTGGTTAGTGGGGGGGAAAACACACACAAAAAAGTAGAAATCTATGTTTAAGAAGAGAACTAAAAGAGGTTTAGAATATAGAGCATGTAGAGTTGGAACCCACTGAGCCACCAAAGAAATGCCAACATAGGTTCTGGGCAAAACAAGCTCAGTGTTTCTCAATTTTAGCATTCATTAGAATCACCTGGGGAATTTAATAAAATATAGATTTCCTTGTTTCTCTCAATCTACATTTTAACATCAGCAACCCACCTGATTCTAATTAAAAAAAAATTCTCACCTGAGAATATTTTTCCATTGATTGTTTTGAGAGTGGAAGGGAGGGGGAGAGACAGAGAGAAACATCAATGTGAGAGAGACATCAATTGGTTGCCTCCTGCACGGGTCCGACCAGGACCAGGGATCAAGCCTGCAACCGAGGTATATGCCTGTATATGCCCTTGACCTGAATTGAGCCAATGACCATTCAGTCCTCAGGCCAACACTTTAGCCACTGAGCCAGGGACCAGCGGATTCTAATATACCCTCAAGTTAGACAGCTGTTAGTTATTTCTATATATCAGCAGCATGGCAACCCACTTCTAAATAACATGAAGCTTACAGGGCTTAAAATCCTCACAGTATTACCCCGCCCTGTCCAGCAGAGTACCAAGCATAGCGGATCTCCAGTGGATCCTACCTATGCATCCTGTAAATATTTATGAGTGCTCACATAAAAGACAGAGGAAAAAAGAATGAATTAGGCCCAGCTCCCCAAATAATTTAAACCAGAGACACAGATACACAGCACACCGTACCATGAGATAAGTATATTAAACTGTCCACCCACCATCTCCTACTTGAATGTTTTATTGCCTTATCAAACTTAAGCAGTTCAAAACAAAATGTTTGTTCTGCCCCTCAAAAATGATAATCTCTTCTTAATAATAGATATATTCTTAAACTTCTCACTTACCCAAGAAAAACAAACAAAACCAAATAACAAAAACCACACCAGGCATCATCCTTGATGTTCTCTTTTCTCTTACCTCAAATGGGAATCTAATCATTACTGTCTGACAACTATATCTCAAAATTGTATCTCCAGTTTGTTTAATTCTTATAATTCCACTGCCACCTTTCTGCTAGACCAGGTCACCAATGAATCTCATTTGGACTATAGCAGTCCTTTTGTGTAGTCTCTGCTTTCAACTTTGTGCCACCACTTTCCTCATAACAGTCCAAGCCATCTTTGTCAACAACATCCCATGCTCCTCAAACAAAATCCAAACCCTGGCCCGTAAGACTAAGCAATGTGGCCTCTAATTACCCTTCCAACTTTATGCATCCCACTTTTCTTATGGCTCAAGCCACAATGATCGTTTCAGTTTTTCACATATTCCTCCCTCTCAGCCTTGGACTTGCTTCCTTTGCCTAGAAATTATCAACCCCCAACTCTTCACAGAGCTGGATCCTTGTCACTGTTCAGGTCTTAAGCTTCACCTCCTTAGAGAGATCTCTCCCACAAAAGCTGGGCACATCACTTACTCTTGGTCACTTCACCTAGCTTCTTTCCTTGACAGTGAATATCACTCTGCCTTTCTTATATACTCTACTTCATGGCTGTGGTCCCAGGGCTCAATACCTGGTACAGAAGCTTTCACTACTGAAGCAGTACATGTAAATGGGTAGCCTTCATATAAGCACTACCACTTGAAGGTAAATGCTAGGAATAGCTTCAATGGAAATGCCACCAGCTGTATTGGGTTGATTTGTGCCCCACCTCCAAATTCATATGTTCCAGTCCTAACCCTCAGTACCTCAGAATGTGCCCTAATTTGGAATAAGGTTGTTGCAGTAATAATTAGTTATTTAATATGTTAGCAGGGTGAACCACAATGCAATATGACTGCAGAGGAAAACTTGGACACACACATGCACACAGGGAGAATGCCATGTGAAGATGAAGGCAAGTATCTACAAACCAAGAAATATCAAAGGGTGCCAGTTAACTACCAGAGTCCAGAGGAGGCAAGCAAAATATTCTCCCTCACAGCCCTCAGAAGGTTTGAACCTACTCTGCCAACACTTTTAACATGAACTTCAAGCTTTCAGAACTCTGAGACAATAAAAAATAAATGCTGCAACCAAGTACCACACAACAATTTGTGTGGCACTTTGTTACAGCATCCTCAACAACCTAATACACCAGTTTACTCAATTCTTAAATCTAAGTGGAGATGTTCATAAAGGGAGAGAAAAAACTAGCAGCCTCTGGGGTAGCGCTGGTCCTGGCTGGGGAGAGGGTGTTACCTGATGAGCCCGGAGCAAGGCAGTCCTCCGATACATGTAGTCCTCAGACTTGATCACATACACCATCTTGTAGGAGTTCAGCTTGAACCTACACTCCAGTTTATCCAGGCTATCCACATTCTCCATGCTCTTCTTGCTGTTTCCTTCCTTCCCTTCCTTTTCTTGCTGTTCTCGACCACGCTGACACTTCCGGATCCGCCGCAGGTTCCTACAAAGCAGAAAGCCATGAATGATGAGAGCTAGTCCAGACAGATTTCCATGACTCCCCTAAGAGTTTTCCTTATTATATGCCTTCACAGTACTCATCACTATTTTTTTTAAAATATATACTTTATTGATTTTTTTACAGAGAGGAAGAGAGAGGGATAGAAAGTTAGAAACATCAATAAGAGAGAATCATCGATCAGCTGCCTCTTGCACACCCCCTACTGGTGATGTGCCCACAACCAAGGTACATGCCCTTGACCAGAATTGAACCAGAGACCTTTCAGTCTACAGGCTGATGCTCTATCTATTGATCCAAACCAGTTTCGGCTCTCATATAAAAAATGTCCAAGGATTTCATTGTTAAAAAAAAAAAAAATTCAGCTGCAGGGATAAACAGAAAAGCAGAAATCTTCAACTACCTCCTACCACTAATTCTTCAAAAATCCCGCTTGCCGGTCCCATCTGTAACTGCGAAATGCGACAACAAAATAGATCACAAATGAAAGAAATGGAGGACAAAAAGCGTCTGGATATAGAGTTCAAATCTACGCTTATAAGGTTTTTCAAGAATTTCCTAGAAAAGATGGATAAGACCTATGAGGACATGAAAAGAGATCAACTAGAATTAATAAGGAGTCAACAAGAAATGATAAGGGATCAACAAGAAATAAAGAATACATTGTCTGAAATAAAAAATATTTTACAGAGTCCTAAAAACAGAAGGGAAGATCGCAAGAATCAAGTCAAAGATTTGGAACATAAAGAGCCAGAAGACACTCCTCCACAGAAGCTAAAAGGCAAGAGAATCCAGAAAATTGAAGATAATGTAAGAAACCTCTGGGACAACTTCAAGCGAACCAACATCAGAAT